AGAGAGAGAGAGAGAGAGAGAGAGAGAGAGAGAGAGAGAGAGAGAGAGAGAGAGAGAGAGGGGTTTCCATTTCTGAGTTCAGCTATAGATAAGCAATTCGGTAGAGAGAGATTAAATCAATCAATCAATCAATCAATCATTCAATCCAAGAAGGACGATGGCGTAGTAGATAAAGAGTAGAAGATCTTTGACTATACCTGGTCTCCGAGTCCGAGATTCTCTCCGTTGCTTTGCGGCGGCGGTCGGTACTTTGCGAGCTCTTGCCGCAGTACATGCACTTCCATCGAAAGTTCTGTGGTCTGTTTCATTAACCGCTCATTCTCCTCCATCAGCATTTTGTTCAAAGCAGATAGTTTTGCGTTCATATTGATCAGCCTGGTCGCCTCTTTCCTCTGCTTCTCTCGACATCTGCCAGTTCAACCCATTTCCCGCACAATGCGCACACAGTCAATTCCCTATTCCCACCCATCCATCCATCCATCCATCCATCCACCCATCCACCCATCCATCCATCCATCCATCCATCCATCCATCCATTTATCAAAAAATTGTGTTTTGGTTGATTTTATCGAATACGAGACCCACACCTTTACACCTTCACCCAAGCTTACACTCAAGGAGCAGATGCTTGTGCCTGAGCAGCTGAGCTTTCATTTTAGCACCAACTTCCCAGGAAGGAAAGCTAACAAATGAACGCAAACGAAGTGAGAGCCGAAGATTTCGAATGCTCGTTGATAATTCCGTCCTCGCTACTAATCAATCAGTCAATCAATCAATCAGATGTATAACTAGAGTAACCAGATGTATAACTGCACTAGAGTAACCAGATGTATAACTGCAGTAACCAAGATGTATAACTGCAGTAACCAAGATGTATAACTAGAGTAACAAGTTGTAAAGCTGCAGTAACCACAATTTATATAACTGCAGTAATCAAAGATGTATAACTGCAGTACGTTCAGTGACCACCGGCATAGCACCAGTAAACACCTAACTGCAGTAACCAGCTGTGTAACTGCAGTAACCAAGATGTATAACTGCAGTAACCAGATGCACAACTGCCGTAACCAGATGTATAACTAGAGTAACAAGTTGTAAAGCTGCAGTAACCACAATTTATATAACTGCAGTACATTCAGTGATCACCGTAGTAAATGCAGTTAGCACCTGTATGACTGCCACAACCACCTGAATATTAACTGCAGTAAGTTAAACCACCTGTATAAGCTAATATTTGCCACCAAGCCGTAGTGCGTGCTTCTTTATGTAGCTTCTATTACCTTTTTTGTTTTTGGTTTCCTTTTTTGCAACGGGTGTCGTACCTAGGCAGTGGCTATGCTAATGTTTCTCGATATCGTTCACATTTTAACGGATGTCCCAAAGGGTACGGCATACGACCTTTTTTCTTTTCTTGTTAAGTGTTTTTAAGTACACGTGTATAATGATATACCACTATCCTCAATTTCGGCGTATAATAATAATAATCATAATCATAATCATAATCATAATAATAATAATAATAAATTAATAATAATAATAATAATAATAATAATAATAATAATAATAATAATAATAATACCGTACCCTTCCGGTAGTTTTACCGGCCGATCTGCTACGTAATCCCTGCTCTAACCTTGTGAGAATGTACCTGGACGTAGTCCCGTACCTCGATGGTCGAATGTACCTGGACGTCTTCCCGTACCTCTTTGGTCGAATGTACCTGGACGTCGTCCCGTACCTCGATGGTCGAACGTACCTGGACATTGTTCCCTACCCTCTATGTGGGTCCGCATCATGGACATATTTTACGTCCAGGTACATTCTAAGAGCGGATGGGCACTCCATTTCGGTGAGAAAAGTGACCATTTGCCTGAATGCATGGTCCCTCATGCTTCTGAGCTAGCCGCTCATCTCTCGCTCATCTCTGGCTTACCTGGATTCTCCGTATCTCGACGTCGATTTCTCTCTAATCCAGCTCACCAAGCTTCATTCTTTCCGTCCTAACAGTCGATCCCTCGGCATGATTAGGCGCCCATGTGGCCATTGGGCAAGATTATTCGTTTTATTATTAAAAAAAAACAAAAAAAAAAAGACCGTTTCTGGCCCTTTTTTTTTTTTTTGATCGAAGAGGAGCCGTCTCTCTCTTATCTCGCTCATTACGCTCGCTCAGCAAGATTGTTCCTTTCCTCTCTTTTGTTTTTCTCTGAAAATCTCTTCCCAGGGCCTTTCTTTCTTTCCGCTCTCACCGTCCATCTCTCTCAGCACGTTTAGTTGACACGTGGCCATTAGACTCCATTGGTCAATTTAAAAGCAAAATAAAAGGAAAATGAAAAGAAAATAAAAAGTGTACATTTTCCCTTTCTACCCATCGGTCTCTAACTTATCTCGTTTCTTAACCCACCGCACTTTTCGTACCCCCCGGCCTCGAATGAATTTGGACCGCGGGGGCAGGCCGATTCCATTCTCCATATAGGTTCTCTGTATCTGGCCGTCGATCTCTCTCGCAGCAGAGGATGTTATAACTTGCCACGTGGCCAACTCCGTTTCGAGCCGTCAGATCTGTTTTTTTATTTTCAGATCTGTGGTTTGGCTCGCGTACCGTCTTGCCATTATAGAATGATGACGGGTCACTCTAGCCTGAGCTGTATTTGGCCCAACTTCCCGTCTATATATAAAAGAGCGAAACCGACCGGACGAACGAACGGGCGTAGGTCAGTTGGTATAAACTACAATAAAGAGCTGTATTAGGTCACTCTAGCCTGAGCTGTATTTGGCCCAACTTCCCGTTAAATACAGACCCAAGTTCGAATCCTGACACAATCAGACGACCAGAATACAATCATTTGGCCGGTCCGTTCAGTGATGATGATATCTCAAGGCCGTCGTCCTTTCAAAAAAAAAAAAAAAAAAAAAAAAAAAACGGACGCCTCTCTTCGGGAGGTGAAGGTACGTTCTCCGTCTCCAGCTGTCGATTTCTCACCGCAGGATCATTTGCCTGGATGCATTCTCCGGAACAGAACGGCTGGTCATTGTCGCTGAACTTAGGCCACCTCGCTGTCCAGATACAGTGATATGTACCGGGCACACATTCGTTATCGCTCTTCTATCAGCATCCGTCTCGCTTATCAGATTTCTTTGTTAGTATCGTTACCATCTACCGTCTTCACCCGAATAGAACGCCCTGTCATTACCGCAGTATCTAGACAGCCAGTTGGACCAAATTCGGTTGTATATACCTAGACACAGCCTGTAGGACCAAATTCGTCTGTAATTACCGGGCGTTCTATTCGGATCAAAACGGTAGCCGTCGGTCTCTATTCTTCGTTACTGCCGTCTTCGCCCGAATAGAACGCCCTGTCATTGTCGCTGTATCTAGACAGCCAGTTGGCCCGAATTCGGCTATAATTACCGGGCGTTCTAATCGGATGAAAACGGTCCCCGTTGGTCTCTATTATCAGTGGCCAGGAACACAGCGCACATTCATCGTGAATGTACACATTCCATAATTCCGGTCGGATACAGTCATATATGGAGGGTGCATTGTGTTCGGGGGATAACTCTAGTGTAAAACTTAGTCCCGATGAGGGAACTCAGCCCCCACGAGCTCGGCACCACAGCAGCCGACGATCGTTTGACACGTGGCCACTCGAGATTATTACGCTCGAATAATAATAATAATAATGATAACTGCCAGACGCCACGATAAGACGATGGATCTGCAAGGCTTTAAAATGAAATCAGTCGACCGAAAAAAAAAAACGAAAAAGAAAAAAAAAGACCCGAGTTACTCACGTGGGTACGAGTCCGTACGACACGGAAAGAACTTTCTTATTATTGCGTATCTGTACATGATTCCGTCTTTGCTTACAGCATTCGAAATCACCATCCGGAGCCAAGTCCCACTAGCAGCGTTGAGTTTCATCAACGCCTGAATCAGGACGTTGTTTGTGGACATGTGCAGAAACGGCGTTGAATTTCCTCAACCGAACATGGCCACAAACCACATTCAGATTCAGGCGTTGAGGCAACTCGACGCTGCTGGCCCACTTACCGGAATGATCGATTTCTGACCGTAGATTTCGAAGATCAACGACCAGAAATCAAGGATCAGCGTAAGTGGGACTTGGCCCCCGGTCATCGACAGTCGTTGCATGTGTGTGGCATTCGGCCGCACAAGCTGCGTCAAGCAAGAGCCCCTTCTTAATTTTTATAGGCTTTCAGTAGAATAAGCGGGGGAGGTAGGGAAGGGGGAGGGGTTTTTAAGGGTACACTGAAGAAAGAACTTCCTTTCTTGGATTCATGTCAAGCGTGGAGGCCTTGCCTAGGGGCCATGCTAATCTTCTCTTCCTAAAAAAAAAAAAAAAAAAAAAAAAAAAATCTCTGTTTCGTTGCCGCTTTAAAAGACCTTCCCGTTCAACTTTTTTTTTTCGCCCCTGTCCAATCTTTGCCAATTGCTATGCGAAAGGCCGAAAAAAAAGAAAAAAAAAAAAAAGAAAAAAGAAGAAGAAAGTACACAGAGTACTCCTGCCTCTGGTCCAGCGTAGTGCTACCTTCCTTCTCCTGACAGCAACCAGCTGCGCGAAATGAGATTTATAAGACGATCATTGTTTTTGAACGGAAGTGTGTTTCAAAAAATGAAACGACCGCAACCAAAAAAAAAAAAAAAAAAAAAAAAAACTTTAATAAAGATCTGGTTCTTACCTGACATGCGAACCGTATACCGTATGTATTTTTAGCAAATGCCGCTTACAGGACTGCAGGGAGGGGGAATAAGAAAACGTAGGATTTCCGATCAGTCCCTATTTTTTGAAGTTTTTCCACAGCCGTACTCCCTGCCTGTCCGCAGCAGAAGAGAATGCGACAGTTCCCCAAAAAAAAAAAAAAAAAAAAAAAGAGAGAGAGAAAGAAAGAAACGAAAGTGACAGTCCCTCCTGACACTGTCAAATCACCTTCCCCCAACCCTACCTTCTTGTTTTAAGAAATGATGAACATTGCCTGAATATTATATGGTCCTAGTCAATAATAATAATTAAATAAAAAAAACGCCTGAACGCCAGTGCAACGCTTGCGAGTAACCGGGGAAAAACGAACCCAAGCGTTCCGTTTCGGGATTTTCTATTTTGGCTTTCTTTCTTCTTTTTTTTTTTCTTTTTCTTTTTTTTTTTTTCTTTTTTTTCTTTTTTTTGTCACTGAGGACTGTTTA